ACATAAACATAGTGCATGAAATGTTTTCTGGAAGTCACAGAAAAGTATTGGAAATTACTATTAAGTTTCTATCAAGGACAGTTGGTAGTAACAACGATGTGCAAAACAGAATTTTGAACATATTTTTGTGAGTCATTTTCTTAAGAATTTACTATTAAGAGCATTTGGTAGCGGAATATGACTACGAAAATGACCGGCCAAATGAGATAGAGAATTATGAGAATGAATGATTGAGAATCGAGCTACCAATATCTCTGATAGTAAATGGGGGAGTAGAATAGGTAAGATAGTGAAAGTGATGAAGATCTTATTGAATAATTTGATTAAACAAAGATCTTGTTGATTTAATGAAGTCAAAATGAAGTCAAAGGCTATTCTGGTGAAGTCAAAGGTTACTTGGATAAAAGGGTAGAGTGATTAGTGAGTCTGCATCTATACTTAGGTATAATCATTCATATCTCTCTGCTGCATGAGGTTTCATCATTTAAAAGATTTTGCAAATGCCTCTAAACGTGTTTAATTTGTTAAAAACCAAAGTAATCGGTTAAATGGTTTTTAAGTAATTGTTTTAACTGATATTATATGAGCTTTATCAGTTAAAATGTTCTTAACACTTACATAACAAGTTTTTAACTAATAGGTTTTCAAAATAATCGATTAAAACCTTTTAAAACATACACTGGAACTGTTTTAATCAATATATCTTCGAATTAATCGATTGTTTTCATTAAAGGAGTTTTTGAAAACCTTCTGCCAGTATTTTAACTGATGTAGAATCGAAATAATCGATTAAAATGACTTAAGATGTTTTGAAAAGTGTTCTGACAGTATTTTAATCTATACAAACTCGAACTAATCGATTAGAATAACTTGAAAGTTTTTTAAAGAAGTTCTGTGAGGATTTTAATTGATATGTTATCAATTAAAATGACTTAGAAAGTTTTATGAAACTATTTGGCAGGATTTTAATCGATTAAAATGCGAATTAATCGATTAAAACAACTAGGAGATTTTTTCCAAAGTGTTTTAATCGATTAAAACAGACTGTTATCAGTTAAAATCACTTAGAAAGTTTTATGAAAACATTTGGCAGTATTTTAATCGATTAAAACAACTTAAGGGATTTTTTACAAAGTGTTTTAATCGATTGAAACGATGTCGCATCAGTTAAAACAAATCTGGAAAATGATCAAGAATATTTTAACAGATTAAAAGAATTTTTAATAGATTAAATCAAGACTTTTAACAGATTAAAAGATTGTTTTAACAGATTAATTAAACCAGCAGTTTGAACAATCTTCTATATAAACAGGATTGCTTGAGTCTTTTAATATATACCTTTGAGCAATCAATCAAGCAATCATAAGAGCTACTTTCAAGAAAGAATCACGCAAGTTTTGTGAAGTTTTTCAAAGTTTTTTCTTAAGGCATTTTCTGCATTTCTTTTGTAAAGAAACTCATTCTGCAGAGCAGCATAATCCGGGTTTGAGTGTTCTAGTTTCTTCTCTTTGTTTCTTTTATATTTCATTACTGTATTGTGAGTGCCTGGAAGTGTGGGCACTGGTTTCTGTGGCTGGAATTTGGCTGCAGGGTAGTTCAAGAACTGAAAGTTGGTTCTTGGTGAAGGTTTAGGTGCAAGGACTGGAATTTTGGTTCTTGTGGTAGATTGGGTGTGTGATTGGAGTTGTAATCTATAAAACATTCAATCTAGTGGAACTCAGCTGGAATTTGGCTGAGAAGTGGACGTAGCCCTGGGATTGGGTGAACCAGTATAAATCTTGGTTGTATCTCTCTAAACCTTTCTCTCTTTAATTATGTTGCTGCCTTTATTTTGATTGTTTGTTTTGTTTGATTCAAGAATTGGTCATAACTCTTAATCTTTGAAATAGATAATTTGTAATTTGCGAAAATCTTTCAAAGATCAATTCACCCCCCCCCCCTCTTGATCTTAGCCTCCATTTCTAACAAACAGGACCTCTAGTCTATGGGGTTGGACCTCTGGTCTAGGGAGTGTTTGGGTATGGGCAATCCCATAAGTGGCCAGTATTTATTTGATTTTGTGTCATGGTAGCCTGTCAGGTGCACTGACACTCTGACTACTGTCTACTTGTTTGCGTTTAGTGGGGCATTGCCGAATCACCGGACAGGGTAATGTTAAGCTCTGATTCCACTAGATACTCATATGAGTCTCCATGGAGCACTGAGTCAAAAATGATCTTTTTAGAGTCAAATGCATGATTTTAAAGTTTTACGTTTTGAGTCACACGTGCATATCATAAACATATTGCATGATGAAATTGTAGATTATTCATGATTTCTATGATATTCTCTATTATGATTCCATGATTGATTTATTTGTTTCTCATAGTAAATTTTCAAATTAAATTATATATGGTTGTATATTTATATGTAGTTATGAACTTATTAGAAGAAATGTTTCATTGGTTGATTTTATCGTATGAATGTTTACTTTATTTGCTGTGGATAAAATTAAACGTCTAACTCCATAAATATTTCAATCCCAGATGTTGGTGATGTGTGATGCAGGAATGTATAGTTCAAGAGATGGATGTCAGATGCAAAACAAAAATCCAGAGCTTAGGTTGGGAATTGTATAACATATAAGTATAACTTTATGACTTGTAATATTTTGAAAACTTTGTACTAGAACTTGTTGCTTGATTTAATATAAAACTTTACCTAAATTAATTGTTCACTTGGTATATTTTCTATTAACCTTTTATGAATATTGAAAATATTACTAACTTAGATAATAAATTAAGATTAATAAATGTAATCTGTAAGGGGGGTTACAGTCTACATGTTGGAAAAATTCTTCATAGGACTGGAAGTGTCGGGGCGGGTTATATTAAAGAGATAAATGAGGTTGTTGTTGTTGTATAGGAGGGATATCTATGTTTTCTTCTTCATCATCTGCGTGCTGGCTAAGGATGTCATCCTCATCCTCATTAAATGGGTCTAATGACAACAAATGTATGCCTAATGTTTCATTTTCTTGTAGAGGAAGAGAGGAGAACTGTTGTGTGTCAACATATGTAGGAGATAGGAGAAGTTGTGAGGTCGATGGACCGATCAAGAGTTGGGTGTATGGTTGTATGTCATTTTCCCATTCCCCTATATATGTGGCGTTAAAGTCAAATGACTGATGTGTGGGTTGGGTTTGTAAGGGTTTTTGATGTTCATGAGAATGATTAAAATAATTGGGTTGAAAAGATGAAATACCTGTATTGTAAGTCGTGCAAATTTTCAAGGACCCAAAGTTGGGTTGGCCTCTATGATATCCATGGCTCCATCCAAGTCATCATCATCTTCAATCTTTGTTGTTGTGTAAGTCACATATTTGCCACAAATTTGTGTTGGAAATTTGAAATGGAGGACTGGAGGTGGATTGGTTGGATCTTTCTTCGCCCGTTTCAATATTATCTCTATTAATTATGAAAATGTGAAACCTCTATGAAGCTAAACCATGATACAGGTGTCGGACTTAAACAAAACACTATTTTCTGGGTTAGGAATCATGTCACCATTCTCATAGATGCATGCAAACATCTTAGGTTCCATTTGAGGAGCACTAGTAGAAAAATGGTTAATAGTGACTAATATTAGTAACTAAAAAATTCGATCACTGGTAGTAACTAAATCGGTGACTAATTTTCCTTTTTATATTTAGTGACTAATTTAGTGACTAAAATTTCAGTCACAAAACAAATAATCTCTAAATTGGTGACTATTTTTCATTTATATAAATATTTATTAAAAATATTTTAATAATATATTAAATATAAATCTACTTAATAACTTAAAATAATTTATAATATTTTTAATAACATTATAAATATTTTAAAAAATAGTTTAATAATTTATTAGACATATTAAATAATATAGTAATATAATTATTTGATTTTACTGTTTAATTTAGCATGTGAATAAAAAAATTTGATTACTAAATTAATCATTGAATCGGTCATCGATTCGATTATTGAATCGATCATCGATTCGGTCATTGAATCGATCATCGATTCAATCACTAAATCTTTCATCGAATCGGTCACCGATTCAATCATTAAATTAATTATTTATTTAGTCTCTTTTATATATATATATATATATATATATATATATATATATATTGTCTATTAATAAAAATGTATTTTAATAAAAAAATAAAATTATTTTAATTACTCAATTGATATTTCAAATTTATATTTAAAGTATTTCAAAATTAAATTTATAATAATAATTATATAAAATTTGATAATATTAATAAATAAAAAATAAATAAATGTATATATATATATATCACTTTAATTATTTTAATTAAATTAATTTCACGAAAAAACTAATATTTGAAAATATGAAAAAATAATAAAAAAATATTTAAAAGATAAAACAAAAAATTTCCTTTTTCTTCTTAATATTTTTCTTTTTTAAAAAATAAAAATAAAAAAACTATAAAAATTTACTTTTTAAAAATAATAAGTAAAAAATAAAAAAATATAGTTAAAAAGAAAAAAAAATCCATTACATTTTACCCTAATTTTCTCCACCGTCTCTCGGACACTGTCGTTACCTCTTCACCCACGCAGCTCTCTCCTTCACCATGCCCTCACTCACTCTATTTCTCCCTGAGTCCAACCACCACACCACCGCAACCCGCAACCTATACCCATACCCGCGTCTTCTCCCACACCGTCACCCCTCTTCCAATCTCAGTTCTCATGTGTTGTTTCTCAAAACCCAAAATCCAAAACAAAAACCTCAAATCTCTACACTTTTCTGTGATTCACTTATAGAAACACAAGAGAGCAGAGGAAATGTTATTGTCCTTGGCAAGAACGCAGTGACCCATCATTCATGGCATCACAAGCACGCTCATTTATCATCTCTCAGCCACTCTTCTAGGACCCCAAAGCCCACAACACCCTTCAAATCCGATCCTAAAAAACCCACCTCCTCCGCCGTTGCCGCCCCACTCTAAGATGAACAAGAACGTATCCGACAACTTGTCGTTGATGACAAGAACCCTTCACTTGATGTGGGGCCTAATGGTTGTCCTCTATTCACATCGGCGCCTTCCCTCTCCCTCCTCTCCTACAACGATGCTCGCACCTACTTCAAGCTCACGTATTGTTCCTACTAACCTCTTTTTTCGTTGTGGCATTTTGTCGAACAGTATGTCAAATGGGGTCTATCGAATGGTGGTTAGTGGTTTTGATGGTTTAGTTTTGAAATTTTTTGAGGTACACTGCTCTTCAACGCCTTAGATATGAAATTACTCTACGATGGCTTTTAGGCATCTACTTATTTAATTTATTTTTTATTTAAAACCAGGTCCCCACAGGTTGGAAGTTCTTTGGTAATTTAATGGATGTTGGATTATGTTCAGTATGTGATGAAGAAAGTTTTGGGACTAGTATGTTTTTGGCATGCATTATCAAGAGCAAATTAAAACTTTGAACTTTTCTAAACCTAGTTTTATCTTGTGATTACTCCTTGTGTTTGTGGGTAGGTTCTGATCATATTCACAAGAAAGATGGAATTTGGGCAGTTTTGGTCTGGTTATCTATACTTGCATATAAAAACAAAGATAAACTAGTATTTTGTTGTCCACTATAAGCTCCCTTCTCCAACTTGGTTTATTCTATTATCCTTTTTGGTTTGTTTCTCATTATGCTTACAATGAATTTCTTTTCCTAGTAATTTTACTGCACAAATCTTTCTAAAAGATAAGAAAAAGAAAAATGAGACTTCCATTTTTTTTAACTTTTTCTTTTATATGTATGTATATATATATATATATATATATATATATATATATATATATATATATGTGTGAGTTAAAAGAAAAATGAGGCTTCATGTTTTGGTTTTTTGTCTTGGGGTTTGCAATTTTTTTGTAAAAGGAAGTGTTTTCCACCTTATCTCAAGCACTTGTCTTCCTTGCTTTGTTTTTCGTGTGTTTGTCTCCTACATGAATGGTAGATAATACCGTGGTATGGACCTCTTTTAGTAATGATTTAACTTGTTTGTAGGAGTATAATAAAATGACTGAACAATTGGGCGTGCTAAAAATAATTGTTGTGCAAGGGAAAAGGTTGGTGATCTGGGATTTCAAGACCAGTGATCCTTATGTTGTGCTCAAACTAGGGAACCAAGTAAATATGATTAACATGTCAATTTCATTTTTAGCTTTTTGAAGCACTTGGTGGATTTGATGAAGACATAGATATAACTTAGGTTGTGGGTGTGTAGATGATTAGGTTTTTAAGTTTAAGCACTTAATCTCTTGATAGGCCATTATGTTTTGTAATAAGCACCTTAAAATGTTGCATCTCATTGAAAATCATTTTTCTGCATGAAAAACTTACGTTTAAGTATTAAAAGAATAAACTAAGTTTTTTCAATCTGTTGAAAAGGATTTTCAATCTGTTAAAATCACTTAACATAATAAATGGTCATACATAATCGAAAATTCAATTGATTGATTCGCGGAATCAACAAGTTAAAATAACTCAATGAATTTTCAATATCAAGTTTCGCATTTTCAATCTGTTGAAATGATTTTAAATCTGTTGAAACAGAAAGACCTTTTTCAGTCTAAGAGTTTTTAGAAAATCAATCTGTTGAAATATTTTTCAATCTGTTGAAACAGAGAGACTATTTTTTTAACTAAGTGTTTGTAGGAATTTAATCTGTTGAAATGATTTTCAATCGATTGAAACAGAGAGCTGTCATTTTTCATTAAGTTGTTTCAATCCATTAAAAACTCGAATCAATCGATTGAAATGGAGCTTTAAATGAAATCAATCGATTGAATCGACGTTTTAATCGATTGAAATTTATTCTGATCGATCATAATTTTATTCTGATCGATCATAACACGATCTGATCGATCATAGTTTCATTCTAATCAATCATAACTCGATCTGATCGATCATACTTCTGTTCTAATCGATCAGAGTCTCTTCTAAACCTGTTTTACTGTTAACCAACTTATCTTTTGACTCTCTGAAACAGTTTTTGACAGTTGGATCAGTCTGATTCTATGATTTACTCTATATATACAGATTTGATCTATCTTTTAAAAAACACAATACAATACACTACTTGAGAAAACTTGTGAAATTAATCTGTGAATTTTTTCATACGTGACTTTCTCTGCATTCAAGAATCTTTTTCATATCATAAGGTGCTGTGATCAGAATTGTGGTCATTCAAAGAGAGAAAGTGCTGATAGAATTGGTTCTGGACAATTAGAAACTTCAAGTCCAGGTTTTTTCTTTCCATATTCTTTTGTAAAAGTTGATTGTGCAGGTTGGATTGTAATCTGCACTTGGTACAGTAACTAGATTTGGTTACTGGGTGGTTTTCAAGATTCTGTCTTGTGGGTTTTGCAAGATAGTTCTTGGGGTAGATTGGTGAGTATCTACCTGGTTGTAATTTTCACTTGGTATTAGTGGAACTTGACTAGTTTGTCAAGAACTCGGATGTAGCTCTGGATTAGAGTGAACCAAGTATAAATTTGTGTGTTAATATTCTTCTTTCATCTCTTTTAATTTCTGTCTTTAATTGTGCTGTGTTTAAACCAAATTACCTTTGCAAAGATTGAATAAAGATAACTCATTCTTCCAAAAGAAAGTAAGTTTTGCGAAAAAGTTTTAAAGTTCAATTCACCCCCCCCCCCTCTTGAACTCAACCATTAATTCTTTCACTTTTTTCTCTTGACATTAACTTTGTGCAACTTATTTAACCTCGAAATGCTTCTGAACTGTACTAGACTACAAAGACCAAAGTAATTAATAGCTGCTTGAATCCTGTTTGGAATGAAGAGCTAAATTTCACTCTGAAATAACCCCTGGGTGTTCTGAATTTGGTGAGTTTCAAATATCTAGTATGCCCCTTCGTTCTTGCTTTCTTAAATCTCTAGTTTATCAATTCTTTTTGAAAGGAAGATACTCTCCTTTAGTGCTTATGAAATAGATTGGTGATTTTTCTAGTGATATTTTGAAAGAATAAATTGTGTTTTAGGTCCTTTAGATTTTGGTTATTATTAGTTTTAGTTCTATACTTTATAAATAATGATTTTTGTTTCTCTTATTTTTATAATCGGTTAATTTTGTCCTTCATTCTAGCATAGTGTTCCATGTAAAAGGTTGAAGTCAACCATGAGAACCAAAACTAAAATCAATCTTGACAAATAAATAAGAATCTTGTTGTATTCACATTGATAGTGAGCACAACTATGTTAGCATGACGTATTTTGATATGAATTCAAGTTGCAATGTGTGAGCAACTTGTGAGGCAGATATGCATGTGAGTATTTTACTATTATAATAAGTTGTCTAGGGATTTAAAGATGATGGGTTATGTACCATACTTAGGAGATAAGCATGTTTGACTAAACAAAGAGGATATATATTGTTGTGAAAATGACACTTGTTCACATTCACTTAATTTACTTAATACATGATGAGATAAATTTACGGTTTAGATAGAATATGATTAAGAGAACGTGTTAGAAAAATAGTTTATTATGTTGATTAATTGAGTATATATATAATTAATATCTTTAAACATAAAACTGAAATAATGAAATAAATAAATTTTAAAAAGAAAATAATTAATAGTAGAGAATTATAAAATATTATAATTTTAACAAAGTTATGCTCTCATGGGCACTAGTTATTGTTAGCCTAATATATAATTAAAATAGTTTGTATAGTTTTAATAAGATATGCATTTATTTATTCTTTTTTGTTAAATGTTGTACAAACCATATTTGAGTTTTCAGGGATAAAAAAAAGATAATGTGATATATTGAAGACGGAGAAGAAGAATTGATTTTATTATCAAATTTATTGTGCACAAGCAGTTTGGCCAAACAATATACAGGAGAAGATAGATTTGTAATCTTTTAAAATATAAATTGAATATTTGTTGTATTTATGTAATTTTATTTTAATATATTTTTATGTTTATTTTGAATTTTTAATATATAAAAGTATAATTATCATGTGGAGAATTGTCTAATTTTAATAATATTTAAATTAATTTTGGTGTGATCTATTGATACCATATATATATATATATATATATATATATATATATATATATATATATATATATATATATATATATATATAATATAATATAATATAATATAATATAATATAATATAATATAATATAATATAATATCATATAATATAATATAATATAATATAATAACAGGTTTATTAAAAAAGAAAAATTTTAATGACTAAATATAGTGACATTTTATTTTAAAATTAATTATTAATTTGGTCACTAATTCGGTCACTAATTTGATCACTGAATCGGTTGTTGATTCGATCACTGATTCGGTCACTAATATGATCACTGAATCGGTTACTGAATCGGTCACTGAATCGGTCACTAAAATCAATGACGAAGGAAATAGTGATCGATTCCAGTTGGTCATTATTTCGGTCACTATTTTAGTTAGTGACCCATGTTGGTCATTTAGTGACCAAATTTTCAGTCACTATTTGGTGTTTTTCTTGTAGTGGAGGAATAAGATTCTGATAAGTGGTAGCAAAGAAAAGATTTGAATAATTATGGTTTGAAATTTGTGGTAAGGTCCCTCTTTTATAGCCAAAAGTTAGGTGATCATGTGACCCGCACATTAACCAACGTGATCATGTGACCCCCCCCCACACCTTATGTCATCATGTGACTTGAATATTTCCTTGTGTGATCATTTGACTTACATATAACTTTACGTCATCATGTTAATATGATTTTTTTTATATACAATGATAAACATAAATAAGATTAATCGAATTAACATAAATGATAATATTGGATGGATTGAAATACTCGTTACACATGATAAGAAGAGTGATAACATAAGGTTCATGGAATTTTCATAAATCAAGGTACATGATCATCAATCTAAGTTTAGTGACTGGTTGAAGTTATTAGCCAAATTATAATAAACTTCAGACTGGGTTGCGCTTTGGTGCATTTTTGTAATAAATGCCATGATCACAACATGAACTTCTGTAGCCTGTTCTGTTGCCATTAAAAACAATGCCTCGACGTCGTCATCTACAAATATCTTACATGATCTATAATGTGCAGTGGTAGCAGATATGAAAATTGGTAACCTATATTATAAGTCAACTTCATATTTGTTTACTGTTGACATGTTGAAATGGTTGAGAATAGTTTGCTTCACTTCGACCATAGTCATTGTGTTTGTTATGGTCACCCAAGTTGTTTGAGAGCTAATGTATGTTTCAGAGTAGTTTTATTCCATTAAGATGGTGTCGTTGAAGTACACCAACACTGTGAAAGTTGTAGATGTCATTATTAGTTACAATACCTTGTCACTGAGTTGATTGGTCGAAAAACCTATAAGTTGCTCTATTTATAGGACAATTGTTCACTTGGGCCAACAACAATGATAATTCCACATACGAAATCTAATAGCTAAGAATGAATCTATGAAGATGAACGCACATGATTTAGATCCACACTGTAGGAGGTATGACCACCATAATGATGCGTGAAGGCTTTAGTCCATGTGACAAAGTGCTCCAACTTTAATATGAGGGTTGAAATTAAATATGTGGAGATGAACGCACATGATTTGAATCCACACTGCACGAGGTCTGACAGGGTTTTATTAAAGCATGGTCGTGTCATTATGGCTGAGCAGTATGCCTTATGTATTGGATCTGAATCGTATGTGTTCAATTTTTGCGCTTTCAATCGCAGTTGTTAACTAAAAAAATGTACACTGCCCATTATGACACTATAAATGATGGTATTGTGTCATGCCATAACTCCCCAAAGTTGATGACTAGTACCATGCATTGACTCATTCATTCTCTCAATCAATGCTCTCACATGCACCCTGCTCTCATGGACAACCATCAAAGATAGCCCACACTGCACAAGGTTTAACCACCATCAATAACGCGTGCAGGATTTAGTCCTTGTCACAAAGTACATCAACTTTAATTGGAGGGTTTAAATTGAATTTGTGGAGATTAATGCACAGGATTTAGATCCACATTGCACATGGTCTGACAAGCTTTTATTAAGCGTGTAGGCTTTTAGGCTATATATTTTGAAAGGCGAAGTTCAATAACCACACTTACGGTCATCATAATCATATACTACAATTTTTGAAAGAGTGTTAGTCAAGATTA